ACCAACAGGAACAGTCAAGAGTAAAAAAAGGGGTTTCCCTTCAACACCATATAGGAGATGCGTATAGTCTCTATGTCTTAGGGGGTTAACAAACAACAAAACGGGGCTCACCCCTAAAAAGAATTGTAACCAACAGAGTGGTCAGGTGATAATATATGGGAGTTCACCCAATTGATATTGCAGGAGGCTCACACCTAAATGCAGCTGTACTCTCAGTCATCCAATGCAAAGCACACAGTGCTAATTATATGGGATAGAAATATCCAGTATACGGCAAACAGATGTACCTGTTAATATGGAGTAATCCTGTTGGAAATGAGGGTGTCCGGTAAGCACACAGGCCTGGATGATGCAAAATTCCAATCTGGAACAGCAAGATGGCCACCGCGAATCTCGCGATCGTGCGAAATCTAAAATGGCCACAGTACTCAAAAGGCCTATTGCAGTGCCGTTGGCTATGCTATGAGTCCAATAAGAGACAGTCTAGAAGAGACAGCAGGCTTAAGCCTGAGGGAGCAAGAAATAGCAAAGTGGGGTAAACTATAAAAATACAAAATGTAGAGCTAGTAGAGAGTGAACAGGTGGAAGGGCATAAAACTGAATAAGGAGGTAAACAGTAATAGTATATGCTCTAAATATAATGTAATAGCCATAAGGGCAAATACTCTGACCTGTGCAGCAAGGCTGGAGTAGCAAAGAAAGATGAAGTGCTTGGGCTGTCAGGGCCATAATATGGTATCTCTTTTCTGATTGATTGTTAGTTTATGATTGATCTGTGCTACTGGAGAGTTTAAAGCGATACAATAGTCACCAGAACAACTACAGCTTATTGTATTTGTTCTGGTGAGTATAATCTGTCCCTTCAGACTTTTTGCAGTAATCACTGAAAAAGAAAATTTCAGAGAAAATTCAGAGAAAATTACAGCCTAGGGATACCTCCACTGGCCACTCCTCAGATGGTTACTAGAGGTGCTTCCTGGGGCAGTGCTGCACAGTGTGACTGACATTGACTGACTCTATGAGTAGCTGCTGATCAGCCAGGGTTGTATTTGGCTGTTGCCCCTGATCTGCCTTCTGAGGGGGGGAGGGGAGGGAGGAAGCCTCCTTGACAGTCTCTGCCAATCCAATGCTTTCCTATGCAAAAGCATTGTGATTGGCTTTGATCAAGACTTCTGATGATGTCAGCCAAACTGGCAGATCAGGGGCAGAGCCAGCAGGAGCAGACTGGAGTAAAATATTTTACTATATTTAGGGAGGAGGGGGCAGGGGGCAAGATTGTGTTTTTAACACTTTTGGGTCAGGAATACATGCTTGTTTTCCTGACCCTATAGTGTTCCTTTAATGAAAAATATGAAGCCTCCTCTCATTTGGTAAAATTAAGTCACAGTCCGCGGGATGAGACACCCAATAGCTCCCTTCAACAGGCTCAAGTCCTGTAGATCTACCAAGGCGACCTCACCTTATTAAATCTACCCACAGAATTGTGGACAATAACCGTAAGCCTGTCCATCAATCAATTGTTTTAAATTTTAACTTGTATCTCTTGTCCTTTTCTCTTTATTGGACCGTACAAGTTTATGAATAAAGTTAACATCTGACATTATTTATTATTGTATCAAGGGATTATCTCCACCATAACTTTAATTTGTGGATTGTACTTTTCAACTATATAAAATATATTTTTATGCCCTAATAGGAGATAGTTTCACTTTGTGACTTCTTTTGTTCTCTCCTCTTTGGGAATTATTTTTTGGTAAATGGGCAGCAAATATCCTGCTCTTCAGCAATTTCTTTATTACAGAAAGATTTTCACTTCCAGCGCTGGCATTGGAGGGGTTACAGTCATGCTGAAATTTTTTTTGTAATTACCTAAGAACTTATGGAGGTTTTAGTTAATTAAGGACATGTCCCACCTCTCAACTCCCTTGGCAAGGATCAAGGACATAAAAGTTCAGATGTCAATACACAAAGGAATCACAGGTGAGATGACCTGCATTGAATAAAACTATGAGATGATCTGTCATCATTAGGGATCAGAAATAAAATAAGCAAGGGCCAATAGTTGCATGAACATTGCTACTTTGGAAAAATATGAGGCTTACTACAAGAGTGCTGTATTTTGATTTCATATTGCCTCTTGCATCATTTTAACCTTTATTATTTAGATTGTGAGTTTGTTTGGGCAGGGTTATCATCTGCTATTGTTCCCATATGTGAAACGTGTTTTGTTAGAATTGAAAGTTTGTCTTCTTTCCTATTATACAGCACTACAGAATATTTTGGCTCTATATAAATAATTGTAATTACCAATTTTTATTCCCCATCTTTTATTTAATTTTATGTTACAACACTTGAATTTCTGGTCCAAAGATCCTAATCCTGTAGATTCTTCACCCAATTCACACCACTTTCATTATCATTTCACCACTACATTCCTGTATTTACTCGAATCTAATGCGCACCTCAATTTTTGAAACCTGGAAGCTGAAAAATGTTTTTGCTGGCGAATGTAATGTGCTACTATACAACATTGTGCTACAATGAAAATGTTTATTGCCATATACAATAGTTACATTGATGGTATTAAAATTTTAGTGTTTTATGTTAAGTCTATTCTTTCTTAAGCTCTCTTTTGAAATTTGCCTGTGTGATTTAGCCAGGATGAAATTCACCTGTTTTGAATTCACCAGTTTTAATTTGCCTGTGTAAATTCGTCTGTTTGAATTATTTGAATTCATCTGTTTGAATTCACCTATTTGAATTCACTAGTTTTAATTCACCAGTTTTAATTCGCCTGTTTGAATGTGCCAAAATACAATTTGCCAGAAAATGTCAAATTTTGTCCCGAATGTAATGCGCCAATGAATCATTCAAATTTTGGAAACTTTATTTTTTTTTTTTAAAGTGTGCATTAGATGCGAGTCAATACAGTATGTTGTTCTGTCAAATATTCATGTGGTACTCACAGTCCACAGTCCACAGTCCACAGTCCCAGCCCATTTAGAAACTTACACTCAAGATAAACATTAATGTATTCGAAAATAACCTTTGTGGTATAGTCACCTCGCATTCCTCCTCAACCTCTTGTGACTCCTTTATAGGAAATGTACATATCACACTGAACATCACTCATGAGTCCATGGTTTATTAATGGCTCTTATCTTAGTTTATTAAATGTAGACATGTGCATTTGTTTTCGTACTAATATGATTTAGTCAGAAATTCTGTTTTTTTCTTATTCGTTTACTAAAACGTAAACGAAAGCCCAACAAACAAAATATAAACGAAACAAAAGGGCAAATGCTGAATGCATTATCGTTTCGTTCGTTTAATAGACGTGCTCATACTCGCGGCATGCTGCAAGTAGGGGCATGCAGGAGGATTTAACCTCCATTTTAATGCAAGGGGTAGGAATGTTTTTTTATTACAAGGAGGGAGCTGGTAGCGCTGCCGGCTACCTCCTTGTTTGTTTTTTTTTGTTGGTTTTTTTTTGCACATGCTCGAAAATGAATAGTTTGCAGACTAAATTTGGGCTTGACTAATTAAATTTTTATTTAGTACGAAATCATTCGTACGAAACGAAAATTTCACTGTTGCACATGTCTAATTAAATGTGACAGAAAGACAGACAGAGTTGAAGTAGCGATGTTAACTATTAATCAGTTATAGTTTGTAGAACAACCTTGCTGTAATCTCTGATTGTGCAGTAGGATATTTGAGACCAGGAATAATTAAGATAGCTTGCAGGTAAGTAGGAGGGACAACAAAACAAGGTGTGAGTGAAAAGTGTATCAAAGGATGCAATGTTGTAATTACAAACTGCAAGTCCGAGTTAATAAACATGAAAAACCTTACAACATTTACCAAGTTTAATGAATGTTTTGTCAAGTTTGTCACTATTGTGAGGATTTCTGCTGGTTACTAGCAGTTTGTTTGGCAGGATCATCACAGATTAGAATACAACTCTATCCAGTTATTGATCTCTTGCTATATTTATATTTTTCTCTAAGGATTTGTCTTATTGACATAGTGTCTTAGTTGTATAGCAGTGGATTATTACAGGGCTTTGGGTTACTAATGAACACAAGTTAAAGGATATAGTTTCAGAATTTTAAGTGACCGTCTCCAGTTCTGTATATTTGATCAGACTAGAGACACTGTACTGAAATTATCATTTAACAAACTAAACATATATATATTTTTAATTATAAGTTTTTTGGACTGCCAAAGTCTAATGTCAGTGCCTGGAGCTTAAAATCTGATGGTGGTTGCTAAGCAAAGCTAAGTTGAAGTGGTAAAACAAGCATAGTGTGAATATAGTATTAAAGTGCATTAAAATACAGGAATAGTTACAGAGAGCTATATGGAATAGAAAACATATATTGTAGTTCACAAACATATTCATCAGGTATGATGCGATTAAAAAGGCATGTTTAAGTATCCCCATTAAACAGGATGAATGCTCTAACGCCAAATTTGTATAAAAGTACAAACAATTAAACATTGCAAAAACAAAAAAACAAAACAAAGATACAACTGAAAAGAATGATACTTTCCCTTTGCACCCTTGGTTGTTCTCAAATCCAGAAACATTAAAATATTTAATATTTATACTAATCTTTTTCCCTGTATTGTATTTGTCCCGGTATGCTTCCATTATAAGCCAACCAATTAGAGCACTCTAATGAGTATTCAAATTGTGGGGAAGCCTTTACAAAGGCTTTTCCCAACTTGAAGCCTCATTCGGTGCATAGCCCTTGTGGGGTGAATATGAGCTTATTTTTTTTCCATTGTGGTTTTTAATTTCTCTGTCTTTTTTTTTTTTTTGCAATCTGTTTTTAATGGATTTTTATTTGAACTTTTTTGGGTACTGATCATAAGAGGATTTAGAAAAAACTTCTAAAAGACTTAAGATGGTGATTCTTGATATTATATATATTTTTTTCAAGGTATTAGTTAAATGCCCCAATCTCATTATTATGGGAATTTGTTTATTTAAGGATGCCAAATCAGGGAGTCATCCACTAAACAGCTGAAAGATCAAAGTTTAGAAAAACTCCTTTCTTAATTTTGCTCTTTCACATGTTTAATAGATGACTTTCTATTTTGCTATCCTTATGCGGGCTTGCCATATTTACAGATACCAAATTAGGGAGCAATCTATTAAACAGCTCAAAATTAAGAAAACTTTTTCTTAATATTGCTCTTTTAGCTGTTTAGTAGATATCTACTAACTACGAATAGGCAAAGTCATGAGCAACAGGTAGCAGGGGATTCTAAGCCATTTGCTGCCTTCATCTAGCCCCACTCTTGTTCACTTGAGAATGCAAGATGTCTTTCTTATGGGATGGTGAAGAAAGCAACAGCTTCAGACTGCTCTGGGTGTGACATGGTGTCTGCAGCACCTGAAGGAGCCCTCCGCTGAGTGAATAAACCTGTGAGAAGAAAAGGAAGAGGATTGGGATTGATGTCTATCTGGCAAAGGGTGGTAAGGGCTGCATGCTGCCTTGGTATTTTAAATGGACACTATAGTCGTGAGTAGAATCATCCCCTTTAGGCTTTTTGCTGTAAACACTGTCTTTTCAGAGAAAAGGCAGTGTTTACATTACATCCTAGTGATAACTCCACTGGCCACTCCTTAGATAGCTGCTAGAGGTGCTTCCTATCTCAGTCTTGCCTAGTATGCATCCAAACATTCAGTATCTCTTCCGTCTGCATGCAGACACTGAACTTTCCTCATAGAGATTCATTGATTCAATTCATCTCTATGAGTAGAAGCTGATTGGCCAGGGCTGTGTTCGAATTGTGCTAGCTCTGCCCCTGATCTGCCTCCTTGACAGTCTCAGCCAATCCTATGGGAAAGCACTATGATTGGCTCAGAACAACACTTTTGATGATGTCAGCAGACAGTTTCACAGGCAAACAGGGGCAAAGGTAGCAGCTGCAGACTTGAATACAAGTACGAGTTTACTATATTTAGGGAGGCAAGAGAGGACCAGGAGGGCTAGATGGTGGCTTTAACACTATAGGGTCAGAAATATGTTAGTGCTCCTTTAATGTATCAAATTAGTTTCATTTGTCTACAAAATATCAAACATGTGGAGTCTCAGGGTACTATATGGAAGATGTGTCTTTTGAATGCATGGCAATTACATGGCAGCTTTCTCTGGGAGCTCCATGGTGTGTGAATGTGTGTCTGAACTACATTTTGAGTGTGTATGTGTCACTGGCAAGTGCCCAACTAAGCCACTAGTTGTATCCATTTAGTTAGGGCTTGGAGAGAGTCTGCTAGACAATGAAGGCAAAAATATGACAAGGGCCAACACTATAGGAGCAAGGATAGAGATCTACCATTGTAAGAAAATGAGATTTATTTGGGGAGAATGAAAAAGCAAATTTAAAGATAAATGTGGCCACCTATTTGGGGTAGGAAGGCTGTTTATTGGCAGGTGAATGGGCCATTCTAAATTAGGAAGAGAGATGTTTTGTTGGCAGGCAAATGTGGCAAATACAATTTTGGAATATAGATGGTTCATAGGCAGACAAATCTGGCAAAGTGAGAGGGTTAATTGTCAGGGAAATGCAGGGACTTGTGACTATAGAGTTGATTCTTTGGCAGCAGCAAGTGGGGACATTTTGGGGGAATTAGAGGTTAATTGTCTAGAGCAGCAGGGACAGCCCCCAAATAAACTTGGGCCATCTGTTCCACTACTGTATTGGTGATTATGGAGGCCAATGGAATGCACTTACACTGCTCAAAAAAATAAAGGGAACACAAAAATAACACATCCTAGATCTGAATGAATTAAATATTCTACTGAAATACTTTGTTCTTTACATAGTTAAATGTTCTGACAACAAAATCACACAAAAATTAAAAAATGGAAATCAAGTTTTTCAATGGAAAAATTAAAGTGGAAAAACACACTACAGGCTGATCCAACTTTGATGTAATGTCCTTAAAACAAGTCAAAATGAGGCTCACTAGTGTGTGTGGCCTCCATGTGCCTGTATGACCTCCCTACAATGCCTGTGCATACTCCTGATCAGGTGGCGGATGGTCTCCTGAGGGTTCTCCTCCCAGACCTGGACTAAAGCATCTGCCAACTCCTGGACAGTCTGTGGTGCAACGTGACGTTGGTGGATGGAGCGAGTCATGATGTCCCAGATGTGCTCAATTGGATTCAGGTCTGGGGAACGGGCGGGCCAGTCCATAGCATCAATGCCTTCATCTTGCAGGAACTGCTGACACACTCCAGTCACATCAGGTCTAGCATTGTCTTACATTAGGAGGAACCCAGGGCCAACCGCACCAGCATATTGGTTTATATGATAATATTTTAAATATTGTGTATTTTATATAATAAAATACTTTTTGGCTAATATCTGTGCCAACTATCCTTTTACACACAATTTTATTATTATTATTATTATTTTTATTCATTTTTCCTGGCACCTATTTGATTTTACTACGTGCTTACTAGCTTATCGGAGGTGGGGATCATACCACCAATGCTGTCACCAGAGTGCAGTTGGCCTGCACTACACTTGTAAGTACATTTTTATTCATTTAAACAACTTCTATACCGTGTCAAACAGAGAGCACTATTAGTTGTTTTTATATATCCCTTTTCCTGAGAGTTGGACATCATTCCCTCCGGAGGACAACCACCCATATATCCCATAAGCGGGGATTGTTCCCCTGTACGCCTGTTATACCTGAGCTGGCTATAGCTCATCTAAATGACTACTATAAACAGAGAAGAGACCCCACTATCCAAAGCATCTTAAAATACATTTATTGCTACAGTGCAACTTCTATAATCTATTTGGACTATTTTACAACTCTTATAAGTTTTATTTATATGTCCTTTTTCTATTTGTCTTTTTACTACTTTTAGTACTCATTTATACATTTTGGCGCAACCTTGCATTACTATTGTTGTTGTTTCTTAATCGCACCAGCATATGGTCTCACAAGGGGTCTGAGGATCTCATCTCGGTACCTAATGGCAGTCAGGCTACCTCTGGCAAGCACATGGAGGGCTGTGCGGCCCCCAAAGAAAAGCCACCCCACACCATTTCTGACCCACTGCCAAACCGGTCATGCTGGAGGATGTTGCAGGCAGCAGAACGTTCTCCACGGCGTCTCCAGAATCTGTGCTCAGTGTGAACCTGCTTTCATCTGTGGAGAGCACAGGGCGCCAGTGGCGAATTTGCCAATCTTGGTGTTCTCTGGCAAATGCCAAACGTCCTGCACGGTGTTGTGCAGTAAGCACAACCCCCACCTGTGGACGTCAGGCCCTCATACCACCCTCATGGAGTATGTTTCTGACCATTTGAGCAGACAGACGCACATTTGTGGCCTGCTGGAGGTCATTTTGGCAGTGCTCCTTCTGTTCGTCGTTGCACAAAGGCGGAGGTAGCAGTCCTGCTGCTGGGTTGTTGCCCTCCTACGGCCTCCTCCACGTCTGTACTGGCCTGTCTCCTGGTAGCGCCTCCATGCTTTGGACACTACGCTGACAGACACAGCAAACCTTCTTGCCACAGCTCGTATTGATGTGCCATCCTGGATGAACTGCACTACCTGAGCCACTTGTGTGGGTTGTAGACTCCGTCTCATGCTACCACTAGAGCCAGGAAGCATAGGAACTGAGAAGTGGTCTGTGGTCACCACCTGCAGAACCACTCCTTTATTGGGGGTGTCTTGCTAATTGCCTATCATTTCCACCTGTTGTCTATCCCATTTGCACAACAGCATGTGAAATTGATTGTCACTCAGTGTTGCTTCCTAAGTGGACAGTTTGATTTCACAGAAGTGTGATTGACCTAGAGTTACATTGTGTTGTTTAAGTGTTCCCTTTATTTTTTTGAGCAGTGTATATAATTAGTCAAAAGTTTTAGAAAACTTATATTACTCAATTTTTTAAATATTGATTTTACACAGTTCAAGTCCAGTGAAGAGCCTGAAGTATTAAAAAGGGAAGAGGTAAACTGCCAGAGGTTAAAGAAAGTTGAGTATACTATAAACTAAGAAATATCTTGCATTCCATCATCGGAAAATATGAGATCTGGGCGGGTGGCTTATCTTGAGTGGATTCGGAACTGTTGGACAGGACCCCAAAATTGGACTGTCCTGTAAAAAAGACTGTCGGGGGGCCTGTAATGTACTTTTCAGAGTTATAAACAACTTTTTTCAGGGTACAAGTAACAGGTTATGCAACATTTCTTGAAAGTTAATGCTAACAATTCCTTCAGTTATTCTAACTTGGTGTATAAAAGCTGTGTTGGAACAGACTTTGTTATTACACGGTCTTAAGCATTATTTTAAAATTATTGTACTGCATGAAGTAGTATACTGCGATCACAACGCAAGGAAAAGGCATTTAATAAAAGAAGAGAGAGACAATTTCATACCTTAAAAGCGTAGGTGTTTCCTTTAGAGAATTACAAAGAATGCCAAGGTGTCAGAAAGTACAATTTCCTACACCTTCAAAAAGTAAGTTTGAACCTGGAAGAATCCCTGACTGGAAGAGGTCTTTCAGACCCAAAGCCACAGGAGAATGAGAAAGATTCAAGCACAACTTAATAATTATGGCACTAAGCAAGAGAAGACTTCAAGCTGCAGATTTTGACAGATCAAGTGTCAGTAAGATGTTATGTTGACAATATGGCAAAATAATACAAAAAGAATCTTGCCTGGGCCATGAAACACTGCCTGTGGACTACTGAACACTGCATGTACGTCTTATAGGGAGGCAGATCAAAATTTTAAACCTTTGGTTCATCCCCCACGGTTTTTATACCGACAGTCCTACAGAGACATACAGACACAGTCATACAGTCACAATTATATATATATATATATATATATATATCAGCCCTGTACAATCAGATCCCTGGAGATCATATTCTCCAACTCTTTGTAGTTCCCTGCTGCCCAGTCCCATCACTAGGGTGCCAGCCGCGCTGTGTTCTTCACAGGGAGCAGGAATAGGATGTGTCATATCCTCGCTCTCTGCACACGGCATGTCCTAGAGCTTGTGGGCAGGACAGGGGTGCTGGAGCTAGACCATGCTACAAGGAGTGCTCCCCTCCTGACGGTTACCCGGAC